GAGCCGGAGCACGAGCACAGCGCAGGAAGCTCCCCCAGCCTGGGCTGGCCCAGAAACTGCACAGRGATGGTGGTGATTCTTGCTGCATTCTTAAGTTACCTCTGGGCAAATGCTGAGGGAACATTCTGAGGCTCATCATACCCATATTGACCCAGACRTTGGACTGCTGGGTGCGTGTGGCAGGCTGCTGCCGCAGGAACAGCAGGTACCGTGGGAACAGCTCCAGCTCTGGCACGTTGGTCTTGCTGTTCTTGATCACCTGCAAAACACGGTGGGGACATGTGAGACACTCAGTTGGCAAGTRGGGAGGGAATACCAGAATGATTAAATCATTAAAAGACAAGTAAGTCWTTAAAAAACTAAGCTTTTTAATGAGGAGATGAGAAATCCGAACTTCTCTTTGGGTSTTAGGCAAATATCCACAGGAATGAGAATTTCCTGATTTCTAAGCATTTTTTGAAGTTTGAAAGCTGCAGGTTGTCAAAAGCAAACACCTTGTTTAGTGCAGCATYGCCCTCTGCACCACAGAAAGAACATTTTTATAATTCCTGGAATATTTGTGAATCCACAATGAAGCTCATTAATCCCACTCGCTGTGTACTTCCACATAAAAATTCCACAGCTCTTGAAAAATCTGACAAATGCAGGATAAGACATTTGAGTTGAACTTTGTGAACCACAGGATTGATTTAAAACCTTCATAGTGTACAAACAGGCTGCAACCTACTTTTCTATGTTGACAAAAGAAGCTGAAATTACCCCAAAACATGCATTTTGCAGCTTTTCAGCCTCCATTTCTCCAAAGATTTTTGCCACCTAGATCTGCCCAAATATACCAACAGAAATGGAAGGAAATTTTTGTGACCACGTGAAGCAGAAGAAAAGAGCTCAAGCTGTGAGAAGGAACATAATACACTGAAGTGCCACAGTATTAGACTTCTGCTACAATAAAAACAATGCTGATGACATTTTCTGAGAAAAAAAAAGCACATTACTTTGTGTATAAAGTGATGTGGCCTTTTCTGGATCATGCAAGGTGTTTGTTTCCATGGAGAATGTGTGGGAGGAGGTAAGAAGCCAGTGATTTTTCCCTGTAAAATAATTGTCTGCGCTAGAGCCAACAGACCAAATTGTCATAAATCACAGAGATAATCCACTCCCATGGGTGATAATGAATGTTTGTGACACCAACCACCAAATATCCATTGCCACCATCACAAAAATCCCTTCATATCCCTTTTTTTTAGGTGCATGTCCTACAAGGGACTACCTGACACAGAACAAACTAACCAGTCTGAGGAATAAATACACTCAGGAGGAATTGAGGGAAAAGTTCCCAATGTTTCCCAGTGACCACTTTCCTGCAGCTCCAGCTCCAAAGAGCTCCTGAGCAGCCATTCTGACAGAGAAGATCTCACTGGACTCACCCATTGCCATCTCCTTTTGAGCCCTTCCCCAAATTTTTCACATTGTTTTTGTGACACTGAATCTAAAAGGGGCAATCATTGTCTTCCCCCCATTTCATGGAATTGTCAAAGAGAACAAACAGCTTTTCAGAGCTGCAGGCGTCCCACTTTCCATTTTAGAGGTTTTTAACTTTCTCTCAGCTTTTAAAGATGAGAGTTTTGATGCCAAGYCTTTTAAACCGACCTCAAGTTGACTTTGGTGTGCTTTTGCAAACTCCTGCCCTGCTSCAAGATCCCCTGGGATTGTGCTGCAAATCTCCTGCTGAATATCCACACCTTTCCACCCAGAGCCAGCCTGGAGGCTGTATTTTCCCAATTTGCACTTCCAGACATGGCACAAAGTGGGAGATGACTGTCAGAGGTTTCCTTGTGCCACTGGACAGATTTATTTGTTAAAAAATGTCTGAAATCCCAACTTACCGGCCTGGGCAAGGACAGGTTTGCTCCATACCAGTGGTAAAGTGCTCTCCAAACTGGTTCTGGCACCATGACATAGTCCTTTCCTTCCACCAGCTGGGGAGAYCTTTTCAACCTTCCACCCTCCATTGTTAATGATGCAGCCTTTAAAAAAAAAARGGWWTTT